GTTTTTGAAAGTGATTTTTATATTAAACTACTGGATTTATGTGATTTTTTAGTACTGTTTTAGAATTTCATAGGTTAGAGTATATTGATAATGTAACACTTACTTTTCACTATTTATGTGATGAGTCCCATGTAATAAGGGGTGAGCCTATTGCCATATACCGGGCACATTTCCAGACTCCGGGCTACTACTGAGATTCTTTTTAAAACCCAATTATACTTTGTCCGAACCGGGTATCGAACCCGAGACCTCTTGACCCGAGTCATACTGGCGACCACTCGGCCAACAAGGCAGTCATATACCGTAAGAATAAAATGAAAAATGACTCCGAATCCATAGATGTCGCCTTTTGTCAAAGTAATAAAATTTTCAGCTTCATATTTTTAGTACAAGAAGCTTTGTCTTTGTACGTCGATGTTGAGTACAGTCAAGTGAAATATTAGCGCTTTGCTTGTCTTTTTTTTAACTTTGCCTCATATTTTTCCTGTATCGTGGATGTGTTACAAGACCTTTACATACTCCATGTTACGTACTCCTTTTTTAAAGGCCGGCAACGCACCTATTACTCCTCTGGTGTTGCGGGTGTCCATGGGGGGCGCTGATCGCTTACCATTAGGTGATCCGTCTGCTTGTTTGCCTCTTATCCCATAAAAAGACCCATAATATCACACTCTTTATACTGACTGACTGCACGGTTGGCGCGATGGTTGAGTAACTGACTGCCGCGCAACGTGTCGCAGGTTCGATTCCCGCACGGATCAACTCTTTGTGTGATCCACAGATTGTTGTTCCGGGTCTGGGTGTAATGTATATGTAAACCTGTATGTTTGTAAACGCACCCACGACACAGGAGAAAATCCTAGTGTGGGGCAACGTTTTTTTTAAACTAAACTAAAAAAAAAACTTTATACGAAAGATTATGCTATGCGGTAATTAACTCGTCGAGTACCGGTTTTATAGACACAATTAAAGAACAATAGGTCGCGGTCACCGGTGACCGCTTGGTGTTTGACAGTTTAAACCCGTTACACATTATGTAGTGCTCAGTCTCTCTTATCATTGCGATAACAGCAGTCTACTATATATTGTTGATCATTAAAATCTAGATTCAGAGTTAACTAATATTAAGAGAAGTCTGGAATTGTGCCCAATATAATTATGGCAATAGGCTCACCCCCTATTACATGGGACTCATAACATAAATAGTGAAAAGTGGGTGTTACATTGTACAGTGGCATTAAGTGCTATAGGTAATGTGCACCTCTGACTACTCCTTCGGGGATAAAAGGCGTAATGTTATGTTTATACTAAGAAAAGCTCTACTAGTTTCGAGTCACAAAGGGACTCTTTCTCATGAGCAGCGTTTGCGGTCGCGGCATAGATTCCGAATAAAATATAGCTTATTTATTTATTTTCTGCCATGATCGCCCCACTGCAGGGCAAAGGCCTCCCTACCTTCCTTCTACTCCTCTCTATGTAAAGCTATTTGCGTTGTTTTTTTTTCTTTATGTAAAAATATTTATTTATTTATTTATAATATAGCTTACTACAGATTATTTAACTTCAGATGCAGTAGAAAACTCATTGTGTATCACGTAGATATACGTTCCGGCCATACCACAGCACGGGCTAATTTTCAAAATACAGTTTAGTGGTTCTATTTATACGATCGCACTATCTACTTAGTACTGGCTTTCCAACTACCATGCAATGTATAGCAGGTATTGATCCCGCTCGTGTCAGCTCGCTTTTTGTTTGATCCAGACGTCATATACTGATATCTCGGCTAGTGTAACTATAATTATATATATGTATATGTAGATTTCAATTTGTGAAAGCGAATGCAACTGTATAGATGTGAAAATCGTTATAGCATATACGGAATGTTCTTTTAATGGAAAAGAAAAGAACATTACATGTACGATTTTATATTGGACATAACATTCGTCACGCTACTTAATCCTCGAAAGGGTAGATAGAGATGCACACATACCATGTGCCGCTCAATTTTTAACCCCCATTATTCTAGCGGGCACAATTATAGACTTCGATCTTTAACCGAAAGGTTTTCGAAAAACCGCAAGAACCACAGCTGGTAATAACTTAAGTATCTTTTCTCGGAAAATGTCGCACACAAGTACCAACGTGACATTTTCCACGGAGGAAACCACTGACAAACGATGAAGGAAAATATAAAAAAAAATTAAATACTAGCTTCTACCCGCGACTTCGTACGCGCAATCTCGTTTTCTCCCGTTCCCGTAGAATTTTAAGGACGTTTTCTGTCATAAAAACCTTCCCCTGACAATAATAAACACAACAAAAAAAAAATCAGCCATATCGGTCAAGCCGTTCTCAAGGTTTGGCGTGACAACGGGAAACGGGTTTCATTTTTATGTACCTCATATAAATAAGTTTGAAATCGTCAACATGCACGCTCAGTGGAGCAATGCAGCGCTCAAACCATCTCCATGTGGGAAGAGAGCCTGCCAGCCTTGGGTCAGCAGTGGCTACGTATACGCTGTACAATGTGTGTATGAATGTGAAAGAGCATCACTTGCCACAGACCTTGTAGCAGCGTTCTTTGAGAAACTTACACCATTGGATTGCGATCTTCAACCTGTTTTTCAAACTTGCAGATTATGGCCAACCTGAGCAAAAAAGCCTATAATAGTTCACCTGTGGACTATAATATTGTTACTTCTACTTACTGTCATGTACACACAGCAACACATCAATCTATACACTGTTAAACTACACATTGCTATTTTTTTTATTTTATTTTATAAAACACGGTTAACTTAATATTTCTACACCAGCAATGGTAGTGAATGTGAAACAATATTTAATGTAAAACCTCTATGTACCATATACTAGGAAATAAATGATATTCTATTTTATTCTATTCTACTCTGTGGGTCGCTAATGTTGCGTAATTGATAGTAATATAGAGCTTATTATCATTAAGTACTCTACTATTATGGAATACTAACACGTTATAGAACGTAAATACTTCTATTAACTGAGCAATGAAGAAACTCAACACTGTATTCTTCTATATTAAATTCAAAGTCAAAGTCAAAATCATTTATTTCAATTAGACCAGAAAGGCACGTTTGACCGCCAACAAAAACAAATGAAAAGTGAAGCTATTTGCTCATTCCAAGGTGTAGATTCCTATGGAGAAGAACGAGCAAGAAACTCCTTTTCAATCAGGTTCACAATACAATTCTCCAGGTACATAGTTTTGCTGTTTGGATTGTGCGAGAACAATGTAACACCAAAATCAAAGTGATCGATTTATTAATAAAATCGTTCACTGAAAATGCACCTAGGTCCATTAGTACGTAGGTTATGAAGTTGTCACTATACATTCCATTATTTTTGTTTTGTTTTACCCATGTATTATCGAGTTTCCGTACATTGTCATTGTATGAGGTGCGTAGGAAGCTTTTCATAGACTAGACATCCTTTGTCTTCACCGTTTGTTTAAAATAAATGGAAAGATTTAATACAGTGTATTGAATGGACGTCACTTTTTTCCACGTATTGTAAGGTGTTACAAAAGAATTAATATTAAAGGAAAGTTTTATACTGATATTTTCGTTAATAATATCCCCAAAGGGATAAACAGAGGTGCACACTACGGCACTCAATGCCACTGCACAATGTAACACCCACTTTTCACTATTTTTATATTTTTAAATAATACTAATATAATTTTCTATTTTGTAAGTAGTATTTAAAAATGTAATTTGTAGAGAATTTTAAATAAATATATGTAAATAATACATAATTTATTTATTTATTTTCTCCCATTGTTTACAAAGCATATTCTAGCTAAGTAACAACAAATAATTCAACAATTAATAAGAGACAGGAGCCTGTACTAAGCAGAGCCTGTGTTATGGGTCTCCTGGCCTCCTAACCTTTGAGTTTGTTTGTTTGTTTTTAGTTTTATAGTTAGTTTGTTTTTCATACAAAACGCCATACGTCATACCTATTATTACAAAAAAAAGGAAATAGGTTACAATTTCTTACTTCTATTTATAAAACTTTTTATTCAATTCAATATTCTTGCAGTAATTTATGGTAAACATATTATTAGTAAGTAATAGCTTTACCTATTAAGTATAATAATACGCATGTCACAAACATGGACGCAGTTAAATGGTTATAGTATATATCTGTTTCAATGTAAATTGCAACCTTATTAGTCCCCTTTGTCTAAGGTTTGATTAATTCGGACACTGATCAATTGGACAAATAATTAATACACATGTATTGTGTATATGATATGTACATTGTACATACATAATATTAGCTATGTTTATGGTACTCTGCGGTTTTGCTTATTAGCTATAATCAGTTTAGAGCTGTCAGGGAAATGTCCTGCCAGAACCTCAAGTCTTTGGGAAAGTTCAGACAGAGGTCGATGACTTAATTAGTATGTTATTACCTGTGATCGGAAAAAGGTGGAGACTTCCTTACTACAACATTTTTTTCGGGAAAGTTCCGGTTCCAGTTTCGGGATATTTATATATTACATTTAATATAATTGTTAAAACAAAATTATGTTACAAAAATTAAATTAAATAACAAAAGCTAGAAAGAAACCGCAACTTTTGTCACGATTTTAGGTTTTTGTTAATTTTGGTGTTGAATAATTTTATTTTATGCTCTTTCTTACATCTTAAAATATTTATTGTTGAAAACAATAAAAGTTTTAATTTTGTTTGGTTTTGTGTTAAATTTAAAAAATAAAATCACGAAAAGAAATCAATTGTTTTCTGTATTAATAACAATTATATTAAATGTAATATATAAATATCCCGAAACTGGAACGGGAACTTTCCCGAATAAAATGTTGTAGTAAGGAAGTCTCCACTTTTTGTTTTTGTTCCTTGAAGTTAAGGTAAATTAGCTCACCTTTTTCCGATCACTGGTTATTACACATGGTATTTTTCAACCACTAATTGACATGTCTCTATTTTGTGCAGGTGACATGGTTCCGTAACGAGCGACGTTTGTTGGAAGCAGAGCGGGTGGCTCTGGCCCGCGATGGCAACTTCTGGTGTGCCGATGTAGCTGCTGTCAGCGTCGACGATGCTGGCCGCTGGACCTGTACTGCTGAAAACGCCGGCGGCAGGGCCAGCTGCTCCGCGCACCTTAATGTGCTTGGTCAGTAATTGGGATCTTTACGGTATACTGTTAGATTTATTGTTAAACTGTTGAAATTTGAACCGAAACTTATTGTCATTTTATTAGTTTTTTGGTGGTTAATTATGGTGATTGTGACTGTTGTATAGCCAAATTCATACTCTTTGAACTGGATAAATTATCCACTGGAAAGAGTTATAAAGATGACTATTATACTGGCTATATGGCTGACTATGTCGTTGGGTACCTACTTAAATAAAACAAAATAGGGGTTAATTGTAACGCAAATAAAATAAATCCTGGTGTAACTTTCATCACATTCAATTTTTTACTAACCGTAACTCCTCATCGATAGATAGAGGTACATAAACATAGAGTTTGATAAACTTTACAAGTTGCTTATGTTTAATAAAATTACCTTCTGCATTGCCAAAATAATCTGTAACAAGTTACTGGAACAGATATAAACGCTAAGTTTAGACAATTTTCAAAAAAACATTATCAAGAATTTTGACAAATAAGTGCTAATATTCCATAAAAAAATATTTAGACGACAGTTCTATACTTTCTGATTGACTTATTATATTGACTAATTATGATTTTATATAGGTGCCTACATTATTAATTTTGATATTTATGATTAAGTAATTTAACATGCATGTCCCGATGTTATACTCAATAATACATTTGTACGCCTCTGGGCAAAACATAGGATGCCACTAATCTGTAACAACTCACACTTTGCTGTAAATTTTACCTATGTTTACAAATAAATAATTTGATTTAATCTTTTCTCCTCAGTACCGAAGGCGTACAAGCGGCCTGAATTCGTCGAGGAGTTGCGAGCACTCCTCACGGAGCAGGGGACTGTGTCACTCGAATGCAAGGTGGTGGGAGTACCCACTCCCGTGCTGAGGTGGTTCAAGGTAAAACAAAATATTAAGAGTTAAAAGAGTATTTCACACTTAATCTTGAAACCAAAACTGCAGTTTGCTTTTAAATACAATAACAGCGATGTATTGAATACTCCGTCCATGGAGTGGTTGGGAGCGTAACTGTTGAGCAATTTATGGTTTTGAGTAGCGACTTTTTTTTTGAGGAGCAAAGTCATCCAATGGCTACTCCCGCCCGAGTGACGCGAGAGGGGGTGTCAGACTCTGACTAAAACCCACCCCGTTCCTACTCCTGCATTTTGAGCCGGAACCCCAGCAACCCGTTAAGTCCTCCACCGCTCCGTATCGCATCAGCCCTAGTGGTCTGATAGCTTGATTAACGAGATTGGCATCCTGACATTGACCATTGATCGATTTCGTTGAAAGACCTAGATGTATCATTTTTAACAAGTGCTTAGTTTACTGAGTCGTAGTTTTGGATGTGCAGCATCTGTTCCTAGGAAACTATAGTTAGTAATCCCAAGAGTACTACCGCCGCTGTCTGTAATTATTCAGAATTGTATGTGTATTCGACACAGGCTGCAAACTTGTGGGAATGAGGCCATAAAATTATTCAGAATTCTAAAATGTTATGACGATGTCTAGTTAATTTTCTGTTGGGTAGTGGAAGGCCTACTTTCCACGTCGCGACATTTGACGAATGCATCCATCAAAGGCAATAGGCGGCCTACAAATGACAAATGCTTGCAACTTGCTTAGAAATAAGTACCCGGATGACTGAGCTTCGCAGGGAGTACTTTTTGTAGGCGCATATTTAAAACAAATTATTAGAGATAGAAAATATAAAAATATGTATATTAAAATAGAACAAAAAAGATAAAATAGAAAACAGAACAAGTAAAAGAAACATTCGGAATGAGGTTTAAACTTGATTGTACTGCGTCGATAGTGTCCAGTGTACAGCTCTATTCTATCTGTATACGTAAAACAAAATTCAGCTTCGTATTCTAATAAGGATTTTCATTCAATAAAAACACGGGTAAAACTACATTTTCTGAAAATGAAACCTAATAGTTAGATCGATTTATCGCCCCCGAAACCTCCTAAATACAACATTTCAATAAAATCGTTAAAGCTGTTTCCGACATAGCTGATAGGTACCATTGAGGTACAAGAATTGCTCGTTTAAAGGTTTTAGATTAGATGAAAACTGTGTATGAACCGGCAACATGAAATCCGGTTATTGTTTTCTTGTCAAATGACGCAAAGTGGACGGTAGCTCTTGGTAATAGATAACTTGACATATATTTTTGTGACATCATTATATTTATGAGTAAGTAACGCACTTTATTCTACCTTATATAGATGCACGCCATTTGTACCATGTATGTATGGTTAGTAACAAAAGTGAATGTGTGTGACTGAGTGTAAGTAAGTGGCACCTAGGTGAGTTTACTCTATTTAAACGTAGTCAAAACATGCTTCGAAGTTCACAATGTTTCACTTGTTCGTACAAACCAGCGAGATTAGAAAGAGCGTACGAAACGATATTGTTGAACATAAGCTCAACAGAAGCCAAGCTATTAAAATCAACCATAGACACCTGTGACACCCTAGGAATTACAACTTTGTTATCGGCTTTTGGGAAGATAGGGCCTCTGGAGATGGTGGTCACATAAAAATTCTAAAATGGGTCATTACATTTTACAGGACAGTCGCGAAATAAAGGCGGGAGATGTATTTGCCCTCACGGCGAATGCTGAGGACCCTACGTCGCTCGGCACATACACCTGTGAAGCCGTCAACTGCATGGGCAGGGCCTACTCCTCATCCAAGGTCCATGTCGTCGGGCGTGGCAGCAGGGAAGGATCTCTTAGACCTAGCTCCAGGTAATGGATTAAAACTTCTTTAAATTGGCCTTATTCTGTAGGTACTAGAGTTTAGGTTTATACTTTGTAAGGAATCAAAGACAGATACCTAAGATACTTTCAGCCGCATCAAACAGAAGATTCTATTATAATAAATTCGTTGTCAAGTATTTTTGATGCATTTTGCATTCAACCATGTGTTGCACGGTTGTATCTAGTAATCATCCTTATCATAGAGCCACCTATGGCCGAGCTGAACACTTGTAGTTACTGCGATATTATGCAATATTTTCATAGCGAATCGTCAACTACAAACAACTGCTAGGTATGTCCAATCCAACACGTCATAATCACAACAACATCACATATAACTCCAAATACTTTATCGATTATCGACTCGATACAATGAAATGACGTTTTAAAACCTTCAGAGCCGAGTGGCGCCACAAGCTTCGATTTATCAGGCAAACCTGATTCCCACTGAATTTGAAGCTAATACAATTTGACTCGGCCAAATACCTGTCACAAAATAGAGTTAGTGGGTAGCTCGAATACATTAGTTAGATTTAAACCGACGAGAATGATCTGTATTTCGTTTCATAGGAAAAACTGTAACGTGTACCTACGTATGTTAAATCCTTACTTCCTATTAATAATATTATAAGTCGGAAAGTGAGTTTGTTTGTTTGTTTGTTTGTTCCACGTTCGCGCCGTAACTACTAAACCGATTGCTTTGAATCTTTGCAGACGAAAGTTAGAAGTCCGGATTAAATAATAGGGTACTTTTTATCCCGGAAAAAATGAAAAATATTACCGAGGGAAAACAAAAGTATTGGAATAGATGGCGCTGTGTATATGGGTATATGCCACATAGGCTACTTTTATCCTTTTGTGACGCGAGCGAAGCCGCGGGTAAAAGCTAGTTTTATAATGAATTATTAAATCCCGATGGTGCTTCGGACTCTTTTAATCATTTCAATGTTCTGGGCATCTTTGGAAATTATATATTCTTTTCATTTATTTGATGTGGCATTATATCGAGATTTTTTCGGGATTTTTCAGTTTGATACACGATAAGATACTTCCACCCATGCCCACACTCGTATTGACCGTTACGAGTCGTGTGTGAGTGGCAGTATTTAACACGTATAGCGTAGAGCAACTCTCTGGATTTGCTCAAACGTGTCGACACCACTAAATGTCAAAGCGACATTGCCATAGTATCGTGAACGATTGCCGGAGTGGGCTGTGCGGAAGGCTTTGCAGTTGATACTGTTTCTTTTTATTATTTTAATATATTCTTTTCCGTGAATACTAATTTCGGGCAGTGGCTATCTTGGATTTATATTTTGACGGCACCATCATTTCACCACCCCCGAAAACCATGAAAACGACACCCATGACGATAAATTAAAAATTTCGTGTAGTGGCCATCTTGGATTTACTTTTCGACAGCACCATCGGTTTCACCACCCTCGAAAGAATGAATACGGTCACCCATGACGACTTAATGCATTGACAATACTCCTATTGCAGGACGTCTAACATTGAGTATCCGTTCGGCCCCCGAGCCGTATCGCAAAACAGCCCTGCTGGTTTACGCCTGCTTGTACTGTTACTTTATCCAAGTCATCAAAGATATTATTTATAATAGCTAGTCAATGCGATTTATTCTGCTTCGTTTATCACTTTGACGAATTCTGAATTCTGCGCATTGCACATTATGTGTGGAACTCTGACACCTTCAGGGATTATTAACAATCCCGTTATATGTATTGTATTGTACCAGTATTGTACCAAACAACACTAACAGTTCATTTCGAAATAAAATAAACATGAAATGAAAATTACTACAACAAAACTACAACGACTAGTTTATTATTATTATTACTTTTTTTAATCTCACTTATAGGGATTTTTGTACACATTATGTGAGGATATCAATCCCATCGTGCTTTTACATAACAAATATATTTACAACTTAAATAATGAGATATTTACTTTTTACTTAGGCTTACAAAATAAAAATTCCTACTTCGATAGTCTCCAAAACAACTTAGTCAAAGTATTATTTGTTTTACAAAACAAATGACAAAAGACGTTTCACTGGAAAATATATAATTTAAATATGAGATTATCTATAAATAAGTCGCAGATCGTTATTGAGAGCAGAACTAACGAGCAAAGCGTTGAATTTCAAGGGCGCATGAAGCAAGCTTCCCAGTATTATTGGAACGTAAATACCCGAGTACCAAGACTAGCTAACAGAATGGCTGGAAATAAGCTGACAGACGACTGAAGGAGTATTAGGTACAGACCTAGATGCTAAACATGCTAAGATAATGCTACATTTCAAATGTTATATTTTTAATATTTTTGACGATGTTTTATTAGATGATATGGCATTATTTTCAGTCTGTCTCGTTGCTCGAGTGTCGAGCGATCGGATAGGCAATTTTTTATAAGATTCCTGATATTCTCAGTAACAGCATGAAGGTCTCCGTTACACTTTAATAAGATCATCCACTTGTATGTATATGGAAGTCATGAAAGTCCGCTCGGTTGGCTCGGTAGCTGGGCATGTGCCGCGCAACGTCTCGCGGGTTCGATTCCCGCACGAAACAACTCTTTGTGTGATCCACATATTATTGCTCCGGGTCTAGATGTCATGTGTGCATGAAGTTATACGTTTCAATAGTCCACTGCACTGTCTAACACTTACTGTCTATCAGTTATTACACTGGGTGAACCTTTTCCTATACCATCAAGAATACCATAAATTTCGTATCACTTTATTGTAGTAGTAGGACTGCCTCGTTGGCCGAGTGGTCGCAAGTCCGACTGCCGGGCAAGGAGTCTCGGGTTCGATTCCCGGGTCGGGCAAAGTATCACTGGGTTTTTAAAAATTCTCAGTAGTAGCACGGAGTCTGGAATTGTGCCCGGTATATGGCAATAGGCTCACCCCCTATTACATGGGACTTATAACATAAATAGTGAAAAGTGGGTGTTACATTGTATAGTGGCATAATGTGCACCTCTGCTTACTCCTTTGGGGATAAAAGGCGTGATGTTATGTTATGTTTATTGTAGTAAAAAGTATTATTTTCCATCTAACAGCTTAGCTCCAGAGCCGCCTCCAATCTTCACGAAGGAGCTGGAAGACCAGTTCGTGAGGATCTGTGAGCCTCTGACCCTTGGCTGCCACATCGTGGTGCCGCCCTGGCCGCGCAGCGTCGTCTGGTACAATAAAGAAGGGAAGGTGGAACCTAGCGAGAGGTATGACTTTAGTAGGCTTTAACCTCCTATTTTTAAGTATTTTTCTATGAGATAGTGGAACAAACAAGATATTGTACTGTTATCATTAATAACTTAACTAAAAATACGAACTAGTTAGTTTACTTCCACACAAAGTAGAAATTGTAAAAATAAGAGATAAAAGACACGTAAAAAATTTCAGTACTTACAAGCCTTATATTTTTAAAAGTTACAAGATGTCTAATCAGCTCTTGTTAAGGATGTTCGTACACTGTACAACTCGTCATTCTGTCTACAAATACTTTGAGCATATTCCTTCATATTGTGTTCCGCGTTCCGCCCGCGTTCAACCGCATGAGTGTTTTTCACGCACGCGTCGCGTTAGCATGACCTGCGACTTAGTATGGGTATGTATTATCAAGTTAAGGTGTTGCCAATTTTGAAAATCATTATTCAATGAAATTCTATCTTTATACATTTTGTTCAAGAAAAGCAATATAGAAGTATTTACCAGTAATTATTAATAGCCATTTCAATGTTCAGCTGAACCAATGCCTTAGAAATCAACAATCTGCATTTAGAATAGTTCGCCCAACACGACTGTCACATAGACCTTAATCCATTAAATCACTGCCTTTTAGCAGTTTACCTCTGTGAGCCACTTCCTATTCCTAATCTATTCAAGACGCCCTATATACCGGAGCTGCATTTCTGTTTCGTATTCCCATCCTATAAATAGAAATAGCCGAAACTCTGTCGATTACAAAATTGCCAATATTCTATCGTGTACTGCCGAAAGCAGTTGGGGTTTTGAATAAAAATAGCCCCAAATTGTGCTGCACACAGAATATATACCGACAAAATGCCATACGGCATTAAGTCCGCCTTATGTACCTTATTTTGTGTGCATTAAGAGTTAACGTATAAATAAATATGTATAAAGAAGGTGTGCAGGCAGCTAGTAGTAACATTGTTATTTAACTGTACTGCTATCACCGTAGGCGCGGGTCTGCGGACGGTGAGCATGAGTGGCTCGCCGTCCGACCAGAAACAGACCCGAGCGTACGGCGCGTCGCGTTCCGCGCGCGCCTCAAAGAACCATCAGACCACCACAGATGGGGCCCAACATGGCCGATGCCGATTCGGAGTCGCGGAGAACCTAACGGGTAACTGGGGCTCCGGCTCGACGTGCAGGAGAAGGAACGGGGTGGTTTTTAGTCGGTAAAAGTCTGCCACTCCCTCCCGCCTCACCCAGCCGGGTGCAGTCATTCGATGATTTACCCCGCCTAAAAAAAAACAAAAGACATTGTGATCAGAACTAACTATACCGACACGACTAAACCTACTTAGAGCAGAAATCCAATGCCTGGCCTGATTGCAATGCAATGCAATGCAATGGCCTCATTGCCGAATAAAAACCATCAATTTAAAAAAGCAGAATAATCATTCAAACATTGTGCGTCCTCCTTTTTTTGAAGTCGGTTAACAAAAACTGATCCCTATAATCATCAATCATCATCAACAGCCTATAAAGCCCACTGCTGAGCAAAGCCTCTTCTCACACGGAGAAGGTTTGAGCATTAATCACCACGCTTGCTCAATACGGGTTAGATTTCAAACTAATAATTAGAAATTATAAGTCCAGGTTTCCTCACGATGTTTTCCTTCACCGTTTGTCAGTGGTGTCTAAATAAACTTAGAAAGTACATTATAATTTGGAAACAGTCACATTGGTACTTGCCGTTGGTAGGTTTCGAACCCTCCGGGCCACCACGACATTATCTGCATTCCATACAAACTACTGCATAATTTTTGCAACCTTACAACTCTTCTAACAAGGAACACAAAACATGTTACATTTTTAACGAAGCTGCTACTAGCTCATGCGCTAAGAATACTACCTACTCAGGTATCCTAAATGTGACTAGAAATGTTTTTTAAAATTCAGTGGACAAAAATTGTGCAGACACTTTGATTTGATTATCATTTTCCGCCGTGCACAACAGGATTGCCGTGCCATAGTAAAATCCATTTACGTTGCTCTTATACAGACTAGTACCATTAAGAATGTATGGGGTTCAAATATTGTGACGGAGTATAGAAATATGGAGTATTAAGTTTGCGCATTAAAGTGAAATCAAAGTGTCAGATAAAATGCATTGTGTTGGTGATGATACTGTTGATTTTATTTGTAATTTCTTTAATATAAGTGTTTTGAACATAAATTTTTCAGCAAATTATATTTATCTTCCATTAAAATTGTACTAAGATTATTATAATTAGTGTATTTTAAGAACTAAAATAATAAATACTAATTCACCTATTGAACAATTTTTTAAACTTTCTAAGATTCAATTAAAATGTCCGTATAGATAAATGTGGACATGTACCTAAATAAATATAGAAATACTTTAATTTATAAATTACGAAAATCTTCTGCTTAAACCATTTTAAATGACGGTTTTTCATTAACAGTGAGTAGTCCTTATCTCCATACTCCGTGTGCAGGGTGCATTCGAACTTCGAATATATAGTCTGCACGTAGGATGTATACATTTAGTATTCCGATAATCTCTGTGCTCGGCATGTGCTCGACCAGTCAATGTCAGCTGCTAGAAGCTACAATAGACTTTGGAGTAAGGAAAGTAAATAAGCAATTTTCATAGAATACGTAATAATTATATATAATATAGACAGCATTTTTGAAAAAATGATCCTTCTATTATATGATAATAACCATGTAGGCTAGTGAATAGTGGACCTATTTCATATTTAACTGCACGATTGGTGCAATTAAACAATAAATAGGTAGTTAATAACTGAGTGACGTATTTGGTCTCCGTACGGAATGGAATTCGTCGGGAATAGTGCAAATCCGCGAATTTACCTTTTAAGATAAATTTATATTATTTAAAGACTGCCTCGTTGGCCGAGTGGTCGCAAGTGCGGCTGCCGGGCAAGGGGTCTCGGGTTCGATTCACAGGTCAGGCAAAGTATTACTGGGTTTTCTAAAATCTTAGTAGTTGTACGGAGTCTGGAAATTACATGGGAATCATAACATAAATAGTGAAAAGTGTGTGTTACATTGTACAGTGGCATTAAGTGCCGTAATGTGCACCTCTGCCTACCCCTTCGGGATAAAAGGCGTGATGTAATGTTTATATTATTTAAAGGCTGCGTACCTGCAATAGTACTGCGAGCGGTTGGTAGATAGTAATGGGAGGGCCGGTCTGGAAGTCAACTGATTGTTTAACCGCGAGTGCGATCAATTACCAAGTTTGCGGGCGATAATCGCAAAGGCGGCTGCTGCGATACCGCAGAAAACTGCTGAATTTTGAAAATTCCGCCTCCATTTCGCCACCACGGCAGATGCGGGAGAAAATGGCGCCGTGAGTCCTTAGCCTGAGTCGGTAGCGAAATAAAAAACAAATCAAAAACAAAATACCATACAATAAATAGGTCTATATATAATGAACCTTGTGGTACCTCTATAATACCATCCCTATTTAACTGAAACGAATATTTGCCATTCAGCTATTGACGGACATGTCACTTTTGTAATTAAAATACGCCAACATTAGTATATATACAGCATAATTGAAATAAATATTGAAATCAAAATGTTTCGCTAATCGCGATTGAAGTTTTCAATCAAGCCTAATTAAGCGTTTCACTCTGCGCCAGTAATTGATATTTGATACGAAATATACACTGTTTACATTTTATTAGTTTTTTACTCGTTTCCGTAGATACAATGTAAAATTTATATGTTTTTTATAATACAAACAGAACGCAATCACAACACTTTTAATCTTCCAATGAATAGGCAGATGTGTATAACGTAGCAGCTTATTTTGACCAGATAAGTTTCGAGCTCCAAGGTATGAACAAATCGGCATACACTGGATACAATTCCAGACTCCATAACTCGTCGAGTACCGTATTTATAGACACAATTAAAGAACAATAGGTTGCGGTCACCGGTGTCCTCGCGGTGTTTGACAGTTTAACTCGTCGAGTACCGTATTTATAGACACAATTAAAGAACAATAGGTTGCGGTCACCGGTGTCCTCGCGGTGTTTGACAGTTTAAAAGCGACTCAGGTATGGACAGCCAATGCATAATTGCGTACATACAGCTGTAACCACGCCAACAACGAGGTCGTCTCTTAGAAAATGTTATAAAAATACACATTAATGTGGATAATATTGCAAGAGGAGCCTGGTCAGGTCAGTGAACTTCCTTATTCAGGTAGTTCTTTACCTCTTCCCCTCATGCATAAACAAGAACATATTCTTATTACGAACGCAATATCGTCACACTCTCCTGCACACTACGTACTTACTATAAATCATGGAGTATTAAACATGGAGTACTATGGTCTTATAGAAGTGAATTTCTGGGCATATTATACCCTTTATCGTTACCACCACTGCTCTTCCTGCAATTACATTTTATCGTAAACCGGGCAGAATCGCTATCTCATAAACCTTTGTTTTCGTTTTCAGATCAATCGTAATTAATTTTCTTAAAAATTAGCATAGGGAACTGCACATTAAATATAGATATGTGCTGTCGCGGTCTTTTATTTAGAACCAATGAAGACAAACAATCTTACAGTACATTCTTCTTTGTGTAACACCTATGGTTTAAGCAGCGTACGCCCAGATAGGTCTCAGAGGCCTGATTTGGCTAACATTTTGTGTTATATTACGCCCAAAATTATAAAATACAATCATTACAAATTGTAGCCTTTATGTTGTTCTGATGTATGACCTACATTAGTGTGAAATTTTATCTTAATCCGATCTGTGGTTTTTCGTGAAACTAAAACAAACACACATACACACTCACACTCACATACATCATCACAAACTTTCGCATTTATAATATTAAATTAAATTAATTAAAGTAGGAACACGCATAGGAAGAAGCTTTCGACGTGGCGTGGTGACGTTTCTGTAGATTGATTTGACATTATGATTTAGAGTTCCATATCTATAAAGAAAAACAGGACTTT